ACACTAACTCAGTCCACACAGCCCCACACACAGAGTCATCTTAATGCACAAATATACCATACCTGGAAGGAACACATCAGAGTTTCATCCACACTCATCATGCCTCCTGCATTGTCAAACTCTCCACAATAATTTGGAGCTGAGAATAGGGTGACCAACTGCCGTTTAGCGAAGAACTCGTATCCATCTTCAACCACCTGTCAACACCAGAGAAATCAATACAGCTTACATATGAGATTCTGAAGAAAAAAAAAAGTATCTTGAGGCAAATTGGACTTTATATTACAAAGATAAAGGAAGTAATCAGAAAGCTATTTTATGTCTTGATTTTCAGAGAGGACAAGTTCACTCATTTTATCTTACCTGACACTGAATGCCAGGCCAGATAGCACACCCTATGTCTGACACTTCAAATATTAAGCACACATCAGCTTGACTGTTTAATATTTTCATAGTTTAAGTCCAATTATACACTGCCAGTGTAAGGATTCCCAGCATTTAATACTTTATACACAGAATGTGGATGTCTGACCTAATTAGTCTGGAGCACACCATTTTCGCTGCAACTTGAAACTATTAAGTTTTGCTTAAATTGGTGTTGACTGCACCCACCTCAAGTGTAGGGGACTTGAGACTATCAAAATCATAAAAAAAGAGTGATTCTGCCAGATCTTGCCTAAGAGCATAGTATACCTTTACAATCACGCAAGTAGTATGATGCACCAGCTAAGGATGTTCCCTTTTTTCCGAGATAAAAGCTTCATGTTACAATGTAGTACAAGTACAACCAACTGCTTACTTTGGTGCAATCATCATGATCTTCTGTATCATCCTCTTTTATAAAGAACTGAATCAACTATATGACTGTAGAAAACTGGCAGTAATCTTGATCAGCAGTTAAGAAATCCAGTCAGCATGTGGAATCGATACTAAATCTTCTCTAATGTTTTAGCAGTAAAATTACAAACAAAAAAATTTTAAGTGTTCTAATAGTGTACCCAAGCTTAACAGTGACACAGAAGAAAGAGCCTATTTTTGTTTCACAGCAGGAGCGAGCTTCTAAAATAGACTAAATAATGAAACTGAAATGTTATACAGGAAACTGAAAACTGATGTCCATCTAACTAGCACTCTTGCTTGAAGTAACCTAATAAAAAAGTGTGCTAAGGATTGACAATGCAAGAAGTGCCTGACTGAAATGTGAGGAAATAAAAATAATCTATGCCAAAATACTCTGGATAGCTGAACCAAAATACTGGCAACAGTGAAAGTTTTTATGTATAGACCTGTTTGTAGAGATAGTCAAAATGCATTTAATATTTCCATGAAGCAAAGCAGAGGTAGTTCAAGCCAGAACTACCCAAGAATTGTCTACTGCTGAAACTGAAGAACTTAACTTCCATGTAAATCTGAAATTCAAATCACTCTGCCCCTTTAAATCTGGAGACTTTATCTGTAATGTTCACATACATCAGTCTAACATTTAACAGGCAGTACAAAAGGAAGACATCAATGGAGAAATCCAGTGTTAGTATTCTACTCAACTGACATTAGACAACACAGGTCAACATGAGCCAACATGTTGGAAGGACACAGACTTTATAGGCCCTTTATTAGAAAGATGTTTTCTCTAGAAATAACACAGTGCAAATTAAGTTCCAAACATACACTACTGCTAAGGAGCAGGAGAGGTTTTAAGAAGCAACAGCAACAAAATTCATACCTGATGAGCTCGACAGATCAAATCCAGATCATGACGATTCAGAAATTTACTGACCACATCAGCACCAAAAGTGAAAGAGACCCCACGATCATTTTCACCCCAACCTTGCACATCTTTGTCTGGGTCAGACCACAGCAGGTCACAGAGCAAACCTTCAAAAGATAATGAAAGTGAAAATGCCAGTCTTGGAAGGTAAGGTATTTTATAATGCAAACCAGTTCTACTATAATTACCAGAGCAACTCTCCTAAAGAAAATAAGCCTTAACAACAAATGCAACAATACTTAAACTGCAACTCGGACAAAGAGTACAGTCTGCAAATCTCTAGATTGTTTACCCCCTCACCACTGAAAATGCCTTGAGATGAAAAAGTCAGATTTGAATAGTTCTCTGAAATAATCTTTTATTGCAATATTCAGCGTGTTTACAGTGAGCATTAAGGAGTTTAAAAATATTAAAGTACATGTGTATTAAAAGGCAACCATTAATTTCACAGCTCACTGAGAAAGGTTAATTTGAAAGCTGCAGTAAATTTAAAAGCTCTATGCCTGGCCAGTTATAAAGGCAGCAAGTAACTTTTTACCTTAAGTTTCTGAACATGATTCCTACCATTCATGAAGAACCTTAGGTGACTAAATAATAATGTAACACAGCAATACACTGATACATTGTCTCACATAGCATTGTAAATTTGCTAGGATCCCTGCTGACTGTTTCCGAAAGCCTTGTGACAGCCAGTCTGGAAGCTAAGCGAAAACAGTAAGTTTTTTTTTTTTTCTTTTCTTTCTTTTGCTGCCAACAAAAGGTCAGCCAGCTCTGGAGTTAACACTAGGTATTAAAAAAGATTCCTCTAGATCAACTGCAATGCCTTTACATATAGAACTTCCCATTAATATTAGCAAGAGAAAGAACCAGGCCAATCCAACCACAACACAAAGAAACCCCCAAAGGTCTGAAAGGCATTTCATAGCTTTCCATGAAATTGTACTTTCTTTACCTGTGATGACCCATAGGCATATAAATATTTAACAGCATTGTCTCACAATCTCAAGGATAAGCCAGTAGGCTCCTTCATCTGCCATTTACAAGTTTGATTGACATTTACATTTGGTTTCTTGCTAAAGAAAATATTGAAGATGTTATTTCTTAAACAAAAGATCCTTCAAGCTGTAATCAAGCAAATCAATGTTTGAAACCTATTGTGCAACTACACCATTTAATATTTACATACATTTATCAAATGGTCTTCGGTGCCAGACACAGCTCCTCTCTAACAACAGGCTAAAATTTGATTTGTTTTTAGAAGAACAGAACAAGTACAACTGCATTTTAGATAATATTTCCATCTAGAAATAAACTCCTGAACACAGACAGTGCATGAGAAAAACTTGACTGAAATTTAGTTCCATATTGATTAACTTTGTTTTCCAAAACAATAATTGCCCTGCAATCCCTAATGGCTTCTTACCATGAGTTTCCAGCAAGTGATAGAAGCTGCTTGTCTCAGCTGTTAGCAAGTGCTTCCTCTTCTTTCCCCAAAATCAAATAATCTTTAGGGTCATACAGAACAATAGGCAAATCTGTCCTAAAGGGGTCTTTAAACTGCAGTTGAAATTGCAAAGCCTTTTTTCATCAGGCTAGAAGTTGCCACCATAATGATCTAATCCTAGCACAGCCACATGATCATCTACCAAAACTTCTGTATCAACACAGTCACTGAGTGACACCCCTCCACAAAGGCAGCTTTGAAGGGCTTGAAACTTCCACGGAAGTGACACTACTTCAGTTTATTTTTAGTTTTCCACAAGATTTACTTTCATTATGTAAAACCGGTTTCCTTAAATAGATCCAAAAGATGAAGACCACAGCACACATGCCTCTGATGGGACATTTCATTTTAGCTCTGACAGTATACACACAGCTATTGCTTCTGAAAGCAAAGATAACACTACAAAACACTACACAAAACAAAAGCCTTCTACAAAAAAATCTCCATACTTATTTTTAGGAGGTACTAAGAAGAGAGATGATTTCAGTGGAGTGTCCATGGAAATGAGAACTACGTTCTGTAAGGGCATTCCTGAAGTGGGGGTGCCTCAAGCAATATTATTCGCCTGCTGAATAAAACAATCTTTTCTGGGAACACTGATATATGCAAAGATGGACTCGTTTGTGCTAACATTTATTTGGTTATGCATTGACTGAATAAGGACAAACACTGTAGTAATTTATACCACAGAAACAATCACTCACCAGTCTATAATGCATCGTAGTGTCAGGAGTGTATACACTGGCTTGCACAGAAGTGGTGTTGTTTAAGGGACAGTAGATACATTAACATTAGTCCCTGAATTACTCCCATGCATTAAGGAACATTACAGGAAACAATTCTTCTACTTCAAAGTTTAATTGTAACCTATGTTCCAAAAAAGGTTCAGAGCTTACATCTCCTCTGAAAGTTAGTTTCAGTGAGTTTCAGACTACCGTTGAAATCAACACTTTAAAAACTATCCCATTGTACTGCTCAACATCTTTTCAATCCGCTAGTAAAAATATCTGTAATGAGACACTGAGCAAGACTGATTAAATCATTTAAAAGCACAGAAAGCACTAACAATTTGCATCCAACATTTATAAACAGAATAACCTAGTAGAAGAAAATTTCACAACTAATACATTGATAGATGCAATTGAAGTCCCAACTACAGTGAAGTAAGAGCTGTATTTTTCAAATTTAATGAGGAAGGAGACAAATAGAGAGAAGTCCAAATACTTAAACACCCAGGAAATTTAACTTTGTTGTACTGTTGTACTGTTTTACTTTCTTTGATAGACTAAAAGGTTTGTGTGTCCCTAACCAAGGCAAGGGGAACTACCTCTTCAGTTTCCTTTATCTTTCATTACATTTCTAAGATGTTTCAAGGGAAACTTGTGAATAACACATCCAAAAACATGTATCAAAAAACATACCGCACTCTGCTATGACAAACAACAACAACACACAACATACAACAACCTTTATCATATCAGATAACATAGCCATCATGAGGAACAGGGCTCACATCCTATACAGGCACCAAGGAATACTGTACTGTGAACAGAGGTTGTGTTAAGTCACTACATCGCTTGCACAGAAACTGATTAAACCTGTTTCATCATTAAGACTTATTTACAGTAAATTCCATGTCACTCACCTGTGTCAGGAACATCTGTAGGTCTCATAATTCTCCGGATCTGCTCCATTGACTGGAGATCTGGAGACAGTCCTGTAGAAGTACAAGAAAACAAGTGACTCATATACGCATTTTATCTGCAGAAAGGGTTCCAGAGAACACAAGATTTGAGGCTCAAAGGCACACAGCATCCACTGTTTCCACTGCAACATAAACAAAAGGGAGTTTGCTATAAGATAATTAAGTTGCTAATAGAGGACAGAGAATAATGCAAGTGAAATTAGCAAGGGGTTCTCATCACCATCCTTTTAGCCATGGAGGTTGTCATCTACTGTAGCTCAGCTACTTAAGTCAATTATAAAATCACAGTACTTTGATTACTCAAAAAAAACCCCAAAACACTTAGTACAGACACAGCTATCTTTCAATAGTTTAGCCATTAACATGCAACTACAATTAAAGCATGGAATTCCAAAGCCACCCTTTGAGGAGTTTACACTCCATAAAGCTTCTCTACTTGGGGCATTCAGGCATGAAAGAGCCTGCTAGATGCTACCGCATCTTAATGTGTCCTTAAATAAGGGTCCTAAGCATTTAAATTACTTAGGCCAAGGTATCTAATTAAGAAAGCCGCAAATTTGAAAATCAAACATGAAGACCTAATCTGTGATGAAACACATTTCATGTTAATAAACCATATCAATTTGACTCAGTCCAGAACTCTGAACAGGACAGAAGAAAGCTGATATTGGAAAGGTCATTTCAACATGTAAAATAATTTCAGCTAACATCGGAGTTTGCACAGTGGCAATGTATATGTTACAAGAACAATGATATTTGACAGCAACCAAAGCATTTGATACAGACTTGAGAAACACTTCTTCAAGTATGAAGATTTTAGATTATTTTTCTTGAAGCAGTCTTATGGTAAAAGCCTCCTATCATCATCAGCTTGCAAAAGCTGTTTTCAGGCTCTTGCCTTGAGGTTGTAAAGGATGGCAGAAATCTAACAGTAAACTACTTAAAGGGAGTATTAATCAAGTCTATAAACACAACAATATAGGAATAATAATAATATAAATTCTAGTATAAAATCACCTTTTAAACTTGGATTAATCTACCACTTCCCCTTCCCCAGATCTGATCTATTTGCACACACATTCCATTAGCACATGGCACCACACCCAGAGATTGCAATGGGCAGTCTCAGTGAAATAAACATGACCAGTCTGTGACTTTCTATGAAGTTACAGCTTTCAGCATTTCAGGTTGCACCCAAAAGAAATCCTGGAAGTGTTCAAGGCCAGGCTGGATGGGACTGAGCATCCTGGTCTACCGGGAGGTTCCTTGCCGACAGCAGGGTCTTTGGGAACTAGGTGACTTTTAATGTTCTTTCCAACTCAATGCACTCTATGATTCTTTAAAATGACATGTTACTACAAACCATGTCTCAACTGTGTGGCTGTCCATTTTTGTACTATTTTGCATTACTGGAAACCGGCAAAACCCTATGGAATTGCCTGCAGGTTTGCAGACTTCCTTGTAATCATTTCTTTCCCAAAGTATTTTCCTAACTCCCCTTGCACACAAAGAAACGGCTAATGTCTCAAATTCATACCTACAGAGAAAAGTCCTACATGGTCAGTGTTAAATGGAGGATATAAGAATGCTAAAGCTCACTGTAAAGCTGCTTCCAGTAAAATGATTGCTGAAACTTACAGCACACTAAAAGTACACACGTAAGTTGTCTTGTCACAACAGTTAAGCACAGAAAAAATACCTTTAAGTATACTCAGTATACTGTATTTTTGAAGCATAAGACCACTTCTTCCCTAAGGGAAAACAAAGAATTCTCATTACTCCTGGTAGACTCACCAAATTTGATTTGAACCACTCTTTGACTGCGTGGAATTGGTAAAGTAAGTGTGATAGATACTAATTTCCATAGTGTAATCTTTGAATACTATGTAAATTAAGTAGAGATAGACATCAACATCCAGTCCGTCGTCATTAACATCACAAGAAAAACAGAAAAAGAGCCTAAAAATACTACATAAAATGTAGTATTTTACTGTACAAACAGAGCTCCCATCTCAGAGCTTCAATCCAGTGTGGTAAGACCAGTGTATTCCATCAATATGACACTACAATATGGACTTCATTTATGGAAACTTGAAACTAACCATGTAAGTTCTCTAAAGATTAGAGCTAGAGAGTGCTGTCATAGATAAGAGGACCAATGCTGTACAGAATACAATGCAGAGAGAAAGGGAGAAGTCACAATGGTTATGGAATAAACTTTAATGAAGTGAGATAAACAGCAAAGTCAGAAGTTAATTGAGAGGACAGGCTTAAAAAAAAGGACAAATTACTACATGTGTGAGGAATGTGAGAAGAGAGGGAGCTGATGGAAAAAACACAATGAAAGATCCTCTCACTAGCATGAACATTTAAAGACAGGGGTAGCAAGAGAGGTTTCAGTTATATTGCAAGATAGGTAACTCAAAACAGATGCCCAGAAAAGTTTAGGTAAAAGAGATGACTCGATACATTAAGCTATTGTAGATGACCTACTGGGGTTGAAGTTAGGTGCCTTTTGTTTTACTATGTTATGCGGTTTTGCAAAGTTTTATTATATCCCAGAGGACAATATTTTTAAAATAAACTATGCAAAAATGCGCAATATAGTAAAAAAGGCACCTACCTTATGCTACATGCTAGCTTCAACCTCCAGCAGAGTTGAATGGTTTGTGTTGCTGCCTCAGTGACTATTAGAGTAGTAACATCATGAACATGGCGTTGACAGTCCATTACTTCATTGGATCTGGAATGCAGTTTGGATAGGACTGGAGAAAAGTGGAAAAAGGGCAAAACTTATTTCTGTGCTGAACGTCCACTTCCATTTATAAGGAGCAGCACAGAGCACATCAGTAATCTTTTTGTTTCATAGCTGCAGATCAGTTCAGAGTGGCAATAATTTCAGAATAATTTCAGTTACAGACTAAGCCTGTTCAATTTAAGGGGTAATTAGCAATGAATAACAAAGTCAATACTGCTTTTCACAAAAAGATCCTTAAAGCATACTATGCACAAAATAACCTCTTGTTTAGTCAAGTAGGAAAACTTAATTCACACGTGCCCCCCCCCGCCCCCCCCCCATTTACAATGAAACTTTAAGTCTTTTTTCCTGAAAAATAGCTCTCGACGCTTCTCTCTCATGGTTCAGGTCTCAAATGCATACACACAAAGCTACTGGTTTTGTCATAGCACTCTGCTCTACCTGCTAAGCTGCTTTCATTATCTTCCGCCTAAATTTCATTGTTTGCCTGAAACACTCCAGTATTTTGTTACTATTCATTCTCTGTTTTCCAAAAAATCAAAATTCTAAAACATATGTTGATAGTAAAACAGTAATTCTTTCATAAGCTGTTTTGGAGACAAATTTATTACATGGGTTTTTAGCCACTGGTATCTAGCTACCTCGGCACAGAAGCGACTCTATCTCACATTCTTAAAACTATGAGATCTAGCCTGTAAGATAGATATCAGTTCTTAAAAAGAAGAAAACACCACCACATGGCTTGAGAATAAGATTAAAAGATGAGGTGTAAACAAACAGGTATTTTGACATGTCAGTGCTACCCAGAGACTGGCAGACCCAAGTGTATTACTGCATTAAGTATGTTTTTACAGGGACTTAACAATATCTCCAAGCATGTTACGTGTAAGACCCTGTTAGCTTATTCTAGCAGGCACTGAAGGCAGAAGCTTTCAATACAAGACACAAAAATACTCCAGACCATTTTTAAAGCACATTCCATACAGGCATAGCTCTTGAATTGATACCTGTAATTAATAAAGGCAGGATGGCAGCCATCAATAGAACCTCATGAAGTCTGGAAGTCTTCTCAGGAACTCTGGGCTACACACTGTTTCTAATTCCAAACGGAGGTGTTCAAACTAGATGTCTCTGCATTGCCTTCATTTCCACTAATTTCCATCTCACTGGCAACACAGGTGCGACATCTACCAAACCATTTCTAGATCACTCAGAGAAAGGCATTAAAGTTGCTTATTAATGGAGGCAGTTGCAAACACAGCTGCAAAAGGCAGGATGGCTCTTTCTACAAGTAATTGAAATTCTTGTCAACTGTCTGACACTGCAAGTTTCTGAAAACCTGTTAAGCATCATTGCCTGTAAAATCATGGCAAGGCCTATTCTCCAAAGAAGAGAACCAAAGTACATTCAAATATTCAGACAAGTCACAGCCATCAGTCAGCTCAACACCAAACACTTTTTTCAGTACACCAACTGGGACAGGTACCTACAGAGGGTAGACTGTCTAGCAGCCAAAGCTTTATGGAGTCCATGCAAGCCACGTCTAATCTGTTACAGTATTAACAAATGTCTCAAGCTGCAGACTTGACTGTGTGACCTCAGCGGTCCAGCCCACCAAAGTGCTGTGAAACAGTTAAAGAGGCCGAGAGTATAGAGCCAAGGTTACTTGTGAAAGCCGCTCTTCACAGCTAGGGATGCCACCCTTAGTGAAGGCTGCACTGATATAATGTGTAATGTGGCAAAGTAGGCAATAATTCTAGCATTAAGTCACCTTCAGAGAGGGATACACTGATGGGAATACTTACAGACGCACTTCCCTCTCAGGCACAAGAAGGCCAAGTGTATCAGGTAAGAATGACAGTCTACTGACCACTGCACAGAAAATCATGACCTTTATAGACAACACAAGGTTAAATATCTCCAGCTAAGTATCAGGTACACACAGCCACACTCATTCTGGTATAGCATTAACCCAAAATCAGTCTAGATACAGCCTTTAAAAGTAGCCATCAGCTTACCTCCATGACAACAGAAGATCTTCTCATCCACAATGGCTGCAATAGGCAGACAGTTAAAACAGTCTGTGAAGGTCTTCCACAGCTTAATGTTAAATCTCCGCTTGCCTACAAAAACAGTACGTGATATTAGGAAGAGGAAGCGGGTTTTTAAAGACAACCTGTAATACATACCAGAGCCTAAGCAAAAATGTTCGCAAACTGTCTTCATAGGGTTTTATTTCTGTGAGCACACTTATGCTTCAATCTCTTACAACAGCATTTCAAGGACAGCAGAAGAAAAAAATAGTAATACTCCAGAGTGACTTTAACCTTGGCTTGGAACTTAGAAAGTTTCAAAGCAGGTTCAAAGAATATTGAAATCCTTGCACTACAAGAGTTGCTACTACAAGTGTTTCCCAAACAATGTATTAGTCTGTTGTAGTCTTCCAAAAGTACTAGAATTTGCTTACATTCATCATAAAATCCATAGATTCGATTGATGCTAGCACACTCATGATTTCCTCTTAGGAGAAAGAAGTTTTCCGGGTACTTGATTTTATATGCCAGTAATAGGCAAATTGTTTCCAGAGACTGTTTGCCTCTGTCTACATAATCTCCAAGGAAAAGATAATTAGCTTCTGGTGGGAATCCTCCATATTCAAATAATCGAAGCAAGTCTGTATACTGACCATGGATATCACCTGAAAAAAAAGAGTTTACCAAGGATTAGTGCAACAACATAAAGACTTACACAACTCAAGAACTTAAGCCAGCTAATTAGTTTTTATTCAGTGATATTAAAAAAGGCATTAACATTACCTTTAAAAACTGGCAATATGCATTACGAAGGTAAGAACCATGCTAATATTAAAGCTGAAGTACTCACAGGATATAAATAACTCACCATATCTGCAGAATTGCTATGTTAGGTATGAAGCCAATCTGAAACCCAAAAGCTAGAAAAATCTTCACAATAAAGCATAAGCTTTCTAACCAAGCTTTAATTCACTTAAATTGAAACAAGATCAGAAAGAAAACCTCTAACTGAACAGGTATATGACCAGAAAGCAAATGTACCTCAAAAAAGTCACATTATCTACTGCAAAAACAGATCAGTGAAGAATTCAGACTGGAGAGAAACTCAACACTGTGCTGGCAAAGTACACTTACTTCAAAGGTCAATTTCCATAACACTGCTGTACTAAGAATCCCATCCCCCAGCATTTAGACTGACTCCTCCTTTGATGCATGTAACAAGCAAGACAGAGGCTCAAAGACTCCATCCCTTACAAGATACTCAACCCTGCAACTTGCAGTTAGGAAAAATACCTGTCATGTTACTCTTCACATTGCCAGCTTTAAAACTAGGCTTTCCACGGAACAGCTCTGTGAGGCATTTACACCACCACAGTGTATCACATCAGAGCAGCCAAAGCTAAACTATCTCTGAGCTGTCCACATGGGTGAAGATGCCAAAGCTGCTCTACAGTAACTTCCAGCATACATGCAATGTACTCCAGCTGACTGGAAAACTTATTACCAGAGTGACTGGATGCAAAACAGATATGCCAAAAGCCTTCAGTACAAGCTGTATGCTATTTAGATTCAGTACCTCCTGGTCCGGTACACTAAGCATCACATAAACGTATTTTCACTAATGCTGTTTGTTCAGTGACAAGATCCTGAGTTTGCTAGCAAAATAACTGGAGTTATTCTCCAGTAGAGCACAAGCTACTACGGCCTCAAAAGAGAAAAATGATCAACTCACTTAACTTTTTTCATCTGAAAAAAGGTTCCCAAACCTGTATGCTCTCTGGTTCAACTCTTAAAGAACACAGTGGTAAGAAGAGTACATGCTGTATTATAGTCCTTTAAGCTTTCCATGAAAAATGCAATACTTCCTCCTTTAGGCAGCATTCTCCCATAACTATTTCTCACTTGGGGAGAAGAATCACTTTTCCAGTTTTCTTCTAGTAGAGGTGATCAGTATCTACTACCCAACTTCAGTCACAATCTGAAGCTCCACTGGCTAAAATCTCTTTCGCACATGTTGCAACAAGAATGATTTGTATTCTAATTGATACTTAGAAATCTCCAGGTCACAACCTGAAGAAGCAGAGGAGTCCTCAACAGCTTGTTCCTGTGCTGAGTCTACTACTCCAAATCTGGGGATTTGGTAACTACTGTTATCAAATCCCCAGACTTCAGCACTAACAGATTGAACTACCAAGTAAACACATCACAGAAAATATTATGTTGTCTATAACTACTTTCAGTTACACATGTACACAGAGGGACAAATGCACTTAATGGGTAAAAACATTTTACAGAAACAATTTTACAAAGGTACCAAGGCATTTACCATTCCATTCAGGGCACTTAGCATTTTAAAATACAGCTTCATCTGAGCACAAGTTGAAGTTTACCAGATATAGAGACTTGCATTAAAAACCACATCTATTTAAAATGGACATTTAGATAAGAGCACCTTTCATCTTACATTGAAATACAGCCATTTGAGATGTAGAGCTTATTTTGAACTGACTTGATTGTACGACAAGACAATCCTATTATGGTTCCTCAGGTATTGCCTGAACACACAAAATAATAGTTCAAAGCAATACCAGCTGCATATTTTGCTTTTGGTGAAGCAATCATCTTTCTTTCACTTTTATCTAAACACAGCTTTGACAATTGTTCCAATATTAAATTCAGATGCACCTGACACTTCCTGGTACTTTCACTGTGTTTGGAACTCGATTTAAGATAACAAATGCCTTATTTAGCTGTGCATTAGCTACACCTACTACTGCACACCTAACAGTCCATTCAACTGCCTCGATCTGAACAGATGAGAAAGACCTCGCTTTGAAGTAGGCCGATTATTCTTGGCAGACCTTGACGTATGTATAATCTATCCAAGTTTCCACGTTTTCTTCATCTAGGAATACAGTAAGACTACACTACAATGAAAAGTCTAAAGAAACCACAATGTGATAAAGTTGCATTTTATCTTCAACTTTATGTCATTAGGCAAGCTGGGCTGGTTTTTCCTCCCCAACCTACAAAGCAATTAGTCATTTAAAAATGACTTTGCCATTAGTGGTTGGTTTGTGGGTTTGGCTGTTTTATTTTGTTTTCTTCTTTTTTTTTTTTTTTTTTTTAATTGGTAACATCCTCTCAATGTAAGAAACATTGCAGACATTGCATCTGCCAGGAAGAAGCTAATCTATGTTTGAGGATGTAAGTAGTAATGAACACAAAGATTGTTTCCCCTTTAAAATTATGACACTTCAACTAATCTAATTCAAGGAATTTTATGCCTTCAAAGACATTGTCTATTGTTAATAAGCAAGTTGAAGGATGATTACAATCCAATATTTACAAAACTTCTAAAACATTTTTTTACAACCTTGTAGTTACAGTGTAGTTTGGAAAAAGTCTAGCATCTTATAAATGCTTAGTGAGGTAAAAACACACGTTTTATTTGTGTTTCACAGTAATACTGATGTTTGTTAAAACATGCTGTAAAGCTCAAGGAATTTGTTACATGGTAACTAAGCCTAACTTAAGTCTGCATCCAGTTTTATTTCTCAACTGAAAAACTAACAATGCCTTCAATTTTTCAAGTGTTTCATTCCACGAGGTCTTTGTTTCATTTATGCTTTGAAGCGAGCAACTGCAACATGCAACATGTGGGTCTTTTAAAAGCAGCTGACTGCTTTCTGAAATAGTGATCAGAAGAGCACCAACTCAGGAAAGGAACAGGCTGCAAAATTTGCACTAGATGAGGGCACAAGCAGCCCTTATTGCCAAGGAAACTTGCTCCAAAATAGCGTGAGGAGCATCAGCAATGTACCAAGTGCTACTTATCCAATCAAAACCTAATCCAATCAAAACTGAAAATCACATTCAAGATTTTGAAGACCTCCCTCCAATCCCAACTCAACCTCATTTGCCTGACTCAGCATTCTTCCAATCCCCTAGCACAGAACTAGATTGAAACACCTACATAAAACACGCATATATCAAGCTTACATACCACAAATTTTCAGAGGTGCCTCTAGTTCCAGAAGAATAGGCTGGCTAAGAAATATTTCCCGTGATTTTATGCACAAGCCCCGAACTTCTGCTTCGGTCATCTGAACAATCTTCCCGGGACGACATCCTCGTACTGAAATGAGATATTTAACAGTTGAAGGCAACTACCACGCAGATATACAGCAATAGTTAAATGCAGATGATCTGTATTTAAAACCTGTATTTGACAAAAAGCCAGCATCACATTCTATATATGTACCAAATACCTTGGAATTATGCTGTCCAATGAATTGTAAAATTAATCTCTGATACTGTGGTAATCTGTACTTAAAGATCTGTACGCATTCCTGTTGAATCAGGTCTCAGAAGAGAACAATTTAAGCTCTGCTTTTGTCCATATCTCAATAAATGGCAATTTTAAAAAGTGTTTAACAATTCCTTTATGCTAGAGTAGTCATAAAAGACAAGAAAAATCTTGAGAACAGAAAATCTGAAAACACTTCCACATTAGCACAAGGTAAACTACTTTAGGACTGTTAAGTTCAACAGCACTAGTTAAACACAAAGAAAAAAAAATCATAGATGTTATTATGTTTATTTAAACTGAAAATGCCATATTAGGAACATCACACTACAAAAAGCTACGCAAGTTTGATGAAACTTCCATATATAATGACCCTTAAATTACTGAAACCTTTACAGCCAAGAACATTCTAACTAGAAATGAAATTGAATTCACAAAACCTGTAAGTCAGGCACTCAGACCTATATTTAGCATAATATCAAAAGCACTTGCATGTCATTGCACTCCAACCAATATCCTCTGGCAAGTTTATTGCAGCTGCTTCTTTCTACAAGTATCTGTAAGAGCTCTGTCAGAGGCTGTAGTGTGTCTTTAATGAGGCAGCAAAATAGAACAATTGTGTTGTCACTTTGGCCAATCCAGTTCAGTCTTGCATCTCAGCACAA